TCCATTAACAGTACTGGGGACTGAATGTTTAAGTGTTAGCGCTAGTTTCTGAAACAAAAGATTCAGACCTTGATTCATCCCTCTATCTTGTTGAGGAAACCAGAGAAGCTGTTATACATATGAAAATAATCAATCAAACACACGCCTGCAGCTTAGCTTGGGCAGCAGGGAGCATCATTGGGGGAGCTCTGTCCTCCCCTCTAGGAGTGCTCCACAGTACTGGCTCCAGTGGAGGGGATTTATTGTTTATGTGCATGCCCTTTTTGTGAACCTGTCTACAATTGATTAAAAATCATCTTTGCATAGGAGGGTGCAAAAGGCGTGTAGGGAGGAGACGACAAAGACCTTCAGTTAATTCTGCTAAATAATCTTCTGGGGACTTTCCAATCATGGAGCACTAGACACTAAATTGCTAATTAACTACCCAGTTAACCTTATTAATAATAGTAAATGCACAGGGGTCTCCCTGATTCTGCTGGAATGTATGTTAGCAGGGCTATAAAAAGGCAGTTGTGTTGAATTCTCAAGAATGTTTGCACAGAAGAAAGCATCCAGCAAACAGCTAAGCATTCTTTTTGACATTTGTATTAAATTGGTCATTAGGTTTATTGCGGAAATTAAATTACTGCAAAGCACTGCCCATTAATTCCTGATTAGGCTCGAATGACTGTGATAATGCAACTGTTAGGCTGTGATGGGGATGTTTGGTTTTCTGATGGCAGGTTGCAAGGTGGTCCGGGGTGCTCAGGAAGCTAGACGGGGAACAGATACTGAGCAGATGGCTCCATTTTAGAGAAGCCAAATGGAACCATCAGGGTTAATATGATGGCTCTCTGGAATAATACTGGGCAAGTTGTACTCTTCTTTGGTTAGTAAGATTTTTAGAGGCTAGAAGGAACATGTACATTTCATGATGATGTAAAATTGTTTCCCCATAAATTTCATAAGTTTTTAAAATTTGAGTTCAAACTTGGGGGGAAATAGGAAGGCATCACACTATGTTTAGGAGCAGGGGTTCTGGTGCCAGGCTACAGGGTTTGAACCTTTGCTCTGCCAGTTAATAAGTGTGACTTTGTTGGGCATCTTAATTAGTTCCCTGGGTCTCAATATCCTCACTTGTGAAAATGGGAAATAATATAGCTTGTAGGACGGTGTGAAACTTAAACAAGTTAGCACATATGAAGCACTAAGAACAGTGTTAGGTATTATAGTGGTAGGTATTATTTCATACAGTGTTTCTAGTAATTTCTAAAAGAGATTTATTTTCATTTATTTATGCATATAGGAACTGGGGTTTAGGCTAACGGTGCAGGGGATGGATGGGAGATTCATCAGAGACAGAGTGGGGAGCAGAACAGGCAGATCGACTGAAATATACTGCTGAGGGGAGCAGCCAGGTGAGACAGAAGAGGTCTGCTGTACCATGTGGGTCAGCTTTCTGTCCGGGGATTGAATTTATGCTGCAGTGACTAGAGATAGCTTCATAGCACAGAGACTGTGACCCCTGTGCCACCAAGGAGGCCCCCATATACAGAGCTTTAGACTTTGGATAGGCACATAACTAATTCTTGGCAGAAACAAAGTTTGAACTCAGATTTTAAAAACTTATCATCAGGGCCCTCCCTGGTGGTGCAGCGGGTTAAAGCACTGCATTAAGAAGCTGAAACCACTTCCGCATGAGTTCGATTCCCGCCTGCCCCGGAGGTGACCACATGGCATGGCAGACCTCTCCTGACCCGCCCGCTGCTCCCCTCAGCAGTGCACTTCGTCGATCTGCCTGTTCTGCTCCCCACTCTGTCTCTGGTGAAGCCTCTCGCCGCCCCTGAGCCTCTGGCCTGTACCCCAGTTCTGTATGCACAAATAAATAAATCTTTAAAAAAAAACTTATCAACTATTTATATTTATACTTGGTTGCTGTAAGGACTTAGAAAATTAACAGTGGAAATGGAATATAGCCAATTATCCAATTTTGAAGCTACTCTGACTATACTAAGCAGTTGCTGAAAGTGTTTCAGAGAACAATTAAAAGTGCAAACTATTCTTTAATTCATTGTATTGAATGATCCATGTCTAAGCACTTCTCTGCAAACATCCCATGCTGATACTTGCTCTTTGAAGTTTATAGAAATGATTCTTTATATTTTATTGACTGCATGCTGATGCAGGGTGAGGTGGGGCTTTAAGAATGCTTTATTTATCTAGCTGATCTCCAGTGGAGAGTAGCAAAGCACTGAATTCTACAATGTGACAGGAGGGAGCAGCTCATTTGCTCCCTGGCCTGTTGTGGAAGGTGCCCGGGCTGGTCCAGGCTGTCCACACACGCAGCTCAGTGTTATGTGTCTCATAAATGCTCTGTTTTCAGTTACATGTCTATGGAGTTAGCATTTCTAGCTAACTACACCCCAATTTATGTATTAGGTGGCAAAGCTGCAGACATAAAAGAAACAGTTCTGTCCACAAACAGAAACTCCTAGTCTGGTGGTGGTGAGTGTGATGGTGACAACAAAGCCAGAGACGTGTATAACAAGCAATCTCAGACAGTGATAGTGTTGTGGGAGGCGAGAGGAAAGATACTGAGCCCCAAGGAACTTTCCATAATGGCATGTGATACTTGGGAAGGGTCTTCAAGTCAGTGGAGGTAGCACATAAAAAGGCTAAAGGTCTCTCTCTCTCTCTCTCTCTCTCTCTCTCTCTCT